GTGGCGTTATCTTGTTGGAACACCGTCCGTTGTTGACGCTGGGTGAAAGGAAGAACCACTGGCCGTAAGATATTGTCAATGTAGCTTTGTGCTGTCAGATTGCCTTCGATGATGACAAGTTCCGTCTTCTCGTCTCCGCAAATGTCGCCCCAGACCATCACACTTCCGCCCCCTAAAGGTTCCACCTCCTGGACACAACAAAGAGCCGTACGTTCACCACGTCGTCGATACACTCGCGTCCGCCCATCAGGTTTGAATAGTTGGAACCTGCTCTCGTCACTAAACAGCACTCGCCGCCATTCCCTTTGTTGCCATCGCTGAGTTGTCTGCACCACGTCAATCTGGCACGTCGATGTTGACGGGTCAAGGTCATGCCCTTGAAAGGGCGATAAGCCCGGAGACCATAATGTCGTAGTCGTCTGGTTACTGTTTGTCTGCTGACCGGATGTCCTAAGCTGTTGGCATCTGATGACGTCCAATAGAAATCTGTTCCTCAGATGACGTACCCGTAAAAAGCGGTCATCCTGCGGGGTCGTGACCTATGGTCTGCCACTCCGTGGTCTGTCTGCGGTTCTGCCAGTCTGTCGGAGACGTGAGATCAGTCTGGTAATGGTCATCTTGGAGCAGTTCATGTTAATGGCAACCGCTCTCTGTGTCGCTCCTATCTGCAGCATACCTATGGCTCTCTCCTTCTGGACAGCGGTCAGTCTTGGCATGTTCGTTGGTGTTAATCATCGCAACTATTGATAGGGAACAGATCCCTGCGTAATTTATACCCGGAAATTGCACGATAATTTGGGGAAGATTTTTTTTAAAAATTGCTGAAAAACACCAATATTTCCCAAAATCCGTAAAGCACGTGCAAAGAACGACAGAGAACATGAAGGCTGTATTCGTGAATTGTGTTCTTTACTGTTTTTGAACAGGTTGGCATCTTTGTTTCAAAGTGGCAAATCAGTTAATGTTGGTAACGTTTCTTTGGGCCCTCAGTTTATAACCATCTGGGGTATTTCCAAATAACGACATCCGATGAGCTTCCATCGTTCTTTTTGTCCGTTTGTTTAGGCTAAAGAAATTAATTAACATGCGCCCTTTGTCTGAGATTCAGAGATTACAGGCCACCAATCAGTGTTCTTGAACACGGTAGTCCAGTCTCTTGTCACGCTCAGTTGCGTCAGTGAGCAAATCGGCAGATGGTGAGCCCTAGCTGGCAGTGTTAGACAGCCGAGAAGAAGATTAGTGCCCCTTTAAACCGACAAGCCGGGATATAACTAAAATATACACACTGTTCATAGCAGTGAAGCCAAACTCACTCACTTATTCAGAGTCATGTTGGTCCCCCAGGCTGGATTTTGGGGGTACTTTTCCAGTATAAACATGCCTGTCATTTGAATGTTAAGGCCGCAATAAAATTAATAGTTACAGTTTGACTGATTTTTTAAAAAACATGGGAGACAGGAGGCATTTTATTTTTAACGTTTTTATTTTGTTCTTATCGACCTACTTTAGGCATATGTGTACAATTGCTGTCGGCGGATGCGATTCGCATGCATCATGTGTGCTCAGTAGGGCTACGTGTACGGAGTATTTTATCAGGTAAAGAAAGTAGGAACACTCATATTAACGATACTTCTATTTGTAGGAATTTGAGGGCATTAGAATAATGTAAGGCAGGATGTTTTGTTGTCAGGCGGGAGCGGATGAAAATCTATTAATTAAAGTAGCGAATATGGTATCGTATACAAAAACAAAAAAAACAACATCGGACAGTATCATTTTATCCGAATGCTACAAATTGGTCTGTGAGAATTTTATTTTAATGAATATTCTAGGCGTGTATAAAATTGCCTCATTGAGAAACTTACTGGCTTGTGATTATTTCTGTAACTGACAGTGTAGCCGCGAATAACTGCAATACTGCTGATGCGGCTTTAAGCAATATTACTCACTCACTCACTGACGGTAATAGTTTTGTTTCCAGCTTTCGGACACATTAATGTTTTCACCATCATTGGACATTCATAGACACAATTTCTTTTGTTAAATTATATTGAGCATGGTTAGGGTTTGATTATAAAGTACATAGGAAACTGTAACAACGGGAGATGACTCAGACTTTGTGTATGTAAATTACATAGCATTTTCAAGCTCAAGTCATAAGTTTGCTAAATGCTACTTGGAGAATGAAGAGCATGAAAGAAGCATGACCAAAGGACTACTAATGTGCGCATGCGCTTGACCTTATGATATTACGCATGCGCACGGATAGCGTCTAAAACGCGAGAACACGAGAACGCGAGATCGCGAGAAAATGAAATGTCGCATTCTCGCGTTCTCGCGATTTCGTGTTTTTGTGGCCTAATTTGACAAGTCGAGATTGCGAGATTGCGAGATTTTGCATCATGTCCAAATGTCGCATTCTCGCGTTGTCGACTTTTGACAAAAAGTGCTATGTACCAAAAACACGAGAATGCGAGATCGCGAGAACGCGAGATTTTGGCCAAATCTCGCGTTCTCGCGATCTCGCATTCTCGTGTTTTGGGCATATTTACCTCGTTTCCAAAGGTCGAGATCGCGAGAATGCGAGATCGCGAGAATGTCCCTTACAGTATTCCATACATTGTAAATGTCAGCACGCGACGGAGCTTGGCGCACGTGCAACAGCGGCAGAGAACGCATTCCTCGTGCATCATGCAAGGGCGACTCACGCAGCATAAGTACAGACAACAAAGAGTCCTGGTTTATTTTTCAAATATTTCCAACAAAAGAATATTTTGTCAAAGTGTAAAAGTAGGGATGAGTTTTAAGTAGGGGAATATCCTCCTAACTCTCCATTCCTTAAAAATAATTTGCCTCGAACGCTCCATTATGGCTGTAATCCTATCATGTCATGTTTTAAAACAATTAAGAACTGATATGAGATGAGGTGAGGTGAGGTGAGGTGAAATTGGGTTAAACGTCGCGTCCAAGATTATTGCACTTATATAGCGACGTGCATGCACGTGTATGTGTGGCTGCTTGTACTAGTCCGGACTGATGCCGATTTATAGTGCTAGCTCACTGAGATACCATGCCGCAGTTTAACATGAATACCCCACTCAGACACAGTATACTGACTCCGAGCCGACCAGTCCTTGTTTTAGCCCCTTAATGCCGAGCGCCAGACAGGGTAACAACAAGTACCATCTTTTAACGTCTTTTGGAATGACGCGGCCCGGGATCGAACCCCGGACCTTCCGCTCTCCGGGCGGACGCTCTACCACTAGACCACGGAGGCGGTCAAGAACCGATATGGATCGGGTGGTCAGGTTCGGTGAGCGTAAGCGACAATGTTTGACATTATGGAGGTGTGTAATGATAGGTAAGGTGGAATAGGATTTTAACGTAGCGTTCAAGATTACTGCACGAATATAGCGACGTGCATGCACGTGTGTGTGACTGCTTGTACTAGTCCGGCTTGTACTAGTCTCGGCCCCTTAATGCCGAGCGCCAGCCAGGGTAACAACAAGTACCATCAGAATGTCCGGGGTTTGATCCTCGGCCGCGTCATACCAAAAGTCATTAAACTCTGCCTTGAATTATTTTTGTAAACTGCCTTACTAATATTCGTTTTAAGAAAAACTTAAACATGTCTGTACCGCTTCATTACTCCAGGGGGCACGGGTGGCTCATTCGTCTAAGGCGCCGCGATTCGCTGTGCAGAGTTGCGTCCCTTGGAAACGCCAGAAACCTATGATTGTGGGTTCGAATCCCGGTTCGCCCCGATTGTGTTTCTAGGTTTGTCTGCACCATACCCGTGCTCGTGGGTTTCACCGAAGTGGTAAACGTCCGAGACCTGCATCACTTCGGGCTTTCCTCCCACATTAAGCTGACACGCCGTGATGTAACTGGAATACTGTTAAAATCGGCGTTAAACCCAACTCACTCACTCATTACTCCATTTTAACATTCCACAACTTAACACTTGTACACTGGAAATATATATATATATATATACGTGAGGATGCGGGGTAGAATAGGTTTTCAGCACCCCGTGCTTGTCGTAAAAGGCGACTATGCTCTTTTGCGTGGATCGATACCGATAGATTCTCCCATTGTTAATATGGGAGGGCACGGGTGGCCCAGTCCAAGCTCCTCACAGCGATATCCCGTTCGCGGAGCTCTCTACACCATCGCTGCCACTGTGATAGGTGATCACAACCATGCATGGGCTCGCAACGGAATGACAGTTATGTTTACAAACAAGTGATGACTGTCTTGACGCCGAATACTCTTACCCCAGCTTAATTATTTACTTTGATTGTCAGTTTGAATTTCTGTTTCATTACAACTACATTGTAATTGATATAGTAAGAACGTAAGGGGGAAGTTGGTTGATTTTTCGTTCGTCTGCAATCTCGAACCAATCTGATCAAACAAAGAAAAATGTAAATTCATCTCGGAAATATGGTCAGGGGTAAACCTTTTCAATATTCACTATGATGACATAAACAAATGTATAAACGTCACTACATTTGGGGTAAGAGGGCAAATTTTAAGATTCTTGTAATAGCCACTCCCAAACTGGTTACCGAGAGTGAAACGAAGGTGTCACGCGCTGAAGAGGAGCTTTGGCCCAGTCGTCTTGGGGCCACATTTCGTTGTGCAGAGTTGCCTCCCCTGGGCACGCCGTCCATGTTCGCCCCGATTATGTTTCTGGGTTTGTCAGCACCATACCCGTGTTTGTGGGTTTCACCGAAGTGATAAACGTCTGAGACCTGCATCATTATCTGATTTCCTTCCACATCTAGCTGACACGTCGTGATATAGCTGAAATACTGTTCAAATTGGCGTTGAACCCAACTCACTCACTCACTCACGTTGATGTAATGATTTTCACTATATATTGATATATCTTATTTCTCATTATTTTGACGATATCCTTTCTTTGGGTATAGACTGTAATAAGTCTCCCTCCCGAGGCAACTGTAAAATAATATGACATGACAAAAACCGCAATATTTTTTTATCTTTTTATTTCATCAAGTGGCGCTTTGTACACTTTAGATGCGAGCCCATAGAATATGATGCTGAGGACCTTAAGCCCCGCCCACCAGGCCAGCACCCGGTACGCCATGGCGTTGTTGCTGTAGACCCAGCACGACCCCCTCTCCCCACACGACTGCTGCCACACCTCACAGGTACTGTCCAGGATAGCTCCCAGCAACACTGGCCCCGGGGTGGTGCCTGGAGGAACAGGTTACAATTATACTACGATAATAAATAGTTGTTAAGAATCTGCTATACTAAGACATATTAACTAACGCAATGTAAAAGAATCGGGTGATCCTTATCTTCTTTGAGTAGTATAGATCACACAACAACACTGCGAACAAGGAATCTGGTGTATGTTTCTATTACTGGAACAGACAACCCAATATTTACTCCGTGAAGTATATGGGCCATTTATATTTACCGTTTATTTATTCAAGAGTATGGTGGTCGAGAGGGGACACCGCATTCTCGCTTTCTCGCTCTACCGCTTTCTCGCGGAATTGTCATATCCCATCTTGACCACTATAGGGGTCGCATGTGTGTACTGAAATTTTCTCTATCTACATAAACATAAATCAACTGTACAGACGAATTTGATTTAAAAAACAACCCACGGATTTCTGCGTAAAAAGTAATTGATTGATTTATGGACCTATTTAGGAGTTTTATGGGACTATCACGTCGTCAGCGCGTGGCGAATCATGACAATAATATCTTATTCATTAATATAATAATAATAATATCTTAATTAATTGTCATTTTATATGTACAGCGGGTGACACTATAATAAAATATTCTTCTTCTTCTTCTTCTTCTTAAAACTTAAATGTGACACATATTGATTATGCCATTTTTTGGTTATTTTTTTTGTTTGTTTACACTTTTAATTTCTGATTTTGAGATGGGTAGGTTGAGGCTTATTTCTGGTATTTTGAGAGATAATTTAGCTGCTTTATCGGCGCTTTCGTTGCCGTAAATTCCTACGTGGGCGGGGACCAACAGGAAGGTCATTTGTTTGCCTGCTTTTGTTAGGTCGTTGGAGCTTTTAAGTATTTGGTTTATTAATTTAGGTCGTTTTTTTGTTTTTTTGTTTTGGAGGGCTTGTAGTCATCTAAGGGAGTCGGTGAGAATTAGGATTTTATTGTTGTTTTTAGATTGTTGGTTATGCAGGGCTGAGGCCATGCCCATAAGTTCGGCCGTGAATATAGATTGGTTGTTAGGGAGTCGGTAAGATTGTGTGGATATAACTGGTTGTGTGGTATGGACTCCGAAGCCTGTGTGGTTGGAGATCGGGTCTGAAGATCCGTCAGTGTATATGTGACACCAATTTGGCCAATTTTCGTGTATGTATGCAAGTGTGGTGGTTTTAGCTATGTTTGGGTCGGTTTGTTTATTTATTTGGTTAGCTAGCGTTGTGTCTATTTTGGGTATTTTGAGTTTAGGGTTTTTTGCAGTTTTGTTTAAGATTTTGAGTTTGGTGTTCATTGAGGTAGTTAGTTATTCTTTGGGATATTGGGGTGAGTAAGGGGTGTTTGCGAACTAGAGCTTGGTTTCTTGGGCTAATGTTTTGGTTAATTAAGTTTTGGATGAGAGGGTTTGTTTGGGACGCGGCCCAGAAATTAAGGCTTAGATGTTCCCTGCGTAGATTTAGTGGCATTTCCCCTGTAAGGGCCTGAAGTGAGGTGTAGGAGCTGCCATGTTGGGTGCGTGTAAATAGTTTAAGGGCTTGGTATTGTATTGAGTCAAGTTTTTTAGTTAGAGAGTTGTTTAGGGTATTGTATATGGCGCAGCCGTAGTCTAGTTTTGATCTAATTAGTGCTGTATAGAGTGAGAGGAGGGTATCTTTGGAGGCTCCCCAGTTAGAGCCGGTGAGACATCTTAGTGTGTTAAGGTCTTTGCTGCATCTAGTTTTTAGGTTTTGGACGTGAGCCTCCCAGGTGAGGTGTTGATCGAAAATGAGTCCTAAGAATTTGGTTTGTTTTTGGAATTTGATTGTTTGGTTGTTTAGCTGGAGGATTGGGTAGGCAGGTTTCATGTTTTTATGTTTGAATACTACTCCTGTTGTTTAATCTGAGTTAAGGGAGAAGCCCCATTTGTCTGCCCATTGTTGTATTTTATTTAGAGATTTTTGGATTAAGTTTTCTGCCATTTTAATGCTTTTAGTGCGGATCCATAGGGCTCCGTCATCCGCGAATTTTGAAGTGTTTAGTTTAGGGGATAAGCCCTCGAATAGATCATTTATCATTATATTGAAGAGGGTTGGGCTGAGGATGCTGCCCTGGGGAGTGCCATTTTCTAGGGGACACTGGTCCGATAGCGTATGGTCTATACCCACGGTTATTTTGCGATTGTTTAGGAAATCTTGGATGAAGTTTATTATTTGGCCTTTTAGTCCTTTTTTATAGTTTTTGTATTAGCCCGTGGTGCCATACCATGTCGAAAGCATTAGAGAAGTCGAGGAATATGCCTATGGTGTATTGCTTGTTTATTTGTCCTGTTTTTATATCCTGTTCTAGTCGGGCGAGGTTATCGAAAGTTGATCGGCCAGGAGTGAAGCCGCTTTGGTCGGGGTTTATGATGTTGTTTTGGTCTAGGTAGTGCTGTAGCCTATTTTTAGTCATAAGTTCCATTATTTTGCAGAGATTTGAGGTTAGGGAGATGGGCCTATAGGAGTTAGCCTGATCTGCTGGTTTATTTGGTTTAGGTATTGGGATTACTAGAGCTTCCCTCCAAGAGGATGGGACCTGTCCGTTTAGGTAGACTAGGTTGTATAGTTTAAGTAAAGTTTGGAGTAGTTTGGTAGGTAAATGTTTGATTATTTGGTAAGAGGTGAGGTCTAGGTCAGAGGCTGTTCCTTTTTTTCTATTGTTTAGTACGTGATTTAGTTCTTCTATGGTGTAAGGTTGGTTTATTTCTAGGTCGTCTTGTCTGTTTTCTTTGGAGAATTTGGTTGTTTTTTTTAGTTTAGTTTAGTTTATCTTACTGAAGTTACTGTTGCTACTAACTTTAGAGAAGTGTTTGGCTAGGTTGTTGGCCTTTTGGGTGGGGTTAGTTGAATTGTTTATATTTGAGCTTTTTTGTGCCGTTTGATGCATCTGATGGCGTGAATTTTGCGGCACACCTTCCTAGCGTCGGTGTGGTGGTTTAGCTCCTCACATAATTTTTTCCAGTTTTTGGTTTTAGCAGTTTGAACTAGGTTTTGGACTTGGTGGTTAAGTTCATGGGCTGTTTTGAGATGAGAGGGGTCTCGTTTAGCTCTGTTGAAAGCTGATTTGCGTTTTAGTCTAGTTAGCTCTATTTCCTCATTCCACCAAGGGACAGTGGGTTTTCCTGGGTTGGATGATTTGAAGGGGATTGCGGATTTGGCTGCGTTGATTATGAAGTTAGTTAGGTTTTGACAGAATATTTCGGGGTCTTTTGTTTCTAAATCGTTTAGATTAGCTAGGTTGCATAATTCTTGGAATTTGTCCCAGTTGGCGTTTTTGTACTGAAATTTAGGTTCCTGTTTAGGGGTTTGATTTGGTATTTTAGATTTCCTAGGGTTATATTTATGGGGAAGTGGTCGCTGCCTAGAGGTGCTGGGTGGACGTCCCACATCAGACTTTGTGCCAAGTCTGGCGTACATATTGTTAAGTCGATAGCCGACATGGTGTGGTGGATTTTGTCGTATCTAGTTGGTTGGTTATTGTTTAATAGTATTAGGTCATTTTTTTCGATCCACTCTGATATTAGTTGTCCATGGTTGTCTAGTTTATCTGCAATGCCCCAGGTAGGATGATGGGCATTGAAGACTCCTAGGAAGATGGTTGATTTATTTCCCTATTTGGTAAAGGATGTCTAGGTCTGTATCTTTAATTGGTTTTAGTGTTGAGTGATAGATGTTAATGATTTTTATTTTTTGGTTATTGATGGTGACTTGGATTCCATTAGCTTCTAGATTAGGAGTGTTTACTTTAACTTCCTCGTAGTTTATATCCTCTCTAACGTAGATGATTAGACCTCCTCCTGTTCTGCCTGGGATGGTTTTGGACCTGTCGGTTCTTACTGCGTTATAGTTTGGTAGGTTGAATTTAGTTTTATGTGAGAATTTTGTTTCTTGAATACAGGCTACATGGGACCTTTATCTATTTTGAATTTAGCTTTAAGTTCAGAACCATCACTGCAAAAAAAAGTCCATCTATACAAGCTTGTATATGCTTTGGAATGTTGATATTTCCAAAGCATATACAAGATTGGAAAGATGATATATACAAAAATATACAAGTTTGTATATACGACATATACAAAAATATACAATTTTGTATATATGGTGTATCCAAATTTGTTTTCTTTGTATATATTGGTAAAGGGAGATAATTGTTATGTATTCGTGTATAATTATTATATATGTGCAAATTGAAGTGTTTTAAGTTGAGCACTGTGTTTCTTTGTATATGTTGGTAAAGGAGGATGATTGCTATGTATTGTTCTATTATTGTTTTGTATGTGCAAAATAGTATCAGCAAGTTACAAAAAAACGGATATAGTGGCGTGTAACATTACTGGAATGTTTAATTAGTACTCCACACTGTTAGCGGGAGTACATACTCTCCTTGCAATGATATTGACGGGTAAGCGATTGAGGCGTCTGGTACTTTTCCTGGCCCGGTGCTTGGTATGTGAGTAGACTTTATGGTCAAATGCACAGAGAGGATTAGCTGTCGGGGGTGATTGCATTGGCGGTGACTTCTGTATTGAAAGGGTTGAAATCGATTTGTGCTGAGCTTGGATTCGTTTGTACGGGGAGGCCGCGATGTGATTTGTAACATGCTCTCGTGCACATAGCAGATTAGCCAACAGAGTGGATTGCACAGAGGATGAAAACTATTTTATCATTACTTAAAAGTGTTGAATTTGGTTTGTTCTGAGCTGTCGGTTTAATTGTAGGGTATACATTGTTATAATGTCAAATCTCGGCGGAACGCGGACAATAGTGTTTTTTAAAACGGCAGTCCTTGGAAAAATCCTCTTCAAAATAAAATCAAAGATTTTATTTTTTTAAATACTCAGAAAATATCGTGTTGCCGGAAAACCGTGGCGGATTGTCCTGTTTTCGACCAGAGCCTTCAGCATCAAACATGCCTTTATTATTATTCATAACACAATCATGGGATCTTCGGACATCATACGTTTTCTATCATGAATACTTGCAC